ACTACAGTACGGGCTGTCGTGTTGTATGGCTGTGAGACTTGGCCTATTCGAGCAGCGGAACTGATACGTCTTCAGGTGTTCGACAATCGTTGTCTCAGAACAATAGCTCGTGTGGGTTGGTGTCGGCGAATCCGTAACGAGGCAGTTAGAGAGCGCGTTTTCGGTTGTGTAACAGGTACTTCCATTGAAGAATGTGATCAGCACCAGAAGCTGCGTTGCTTAGGTCATGAATTGTGCACTCCGAACCATCGTTTGCTGAAGAGAGTGCTGTTTTCCGTGCCCATATCGGAGTGACGGGAGCAGAGGAGAGGCCAACCCTTGACCTGTCAGAGGCGTATGAATGTCTGGAGGTCTAGACACCTCGGAATGAGTCCCTTCCTCATTCACCTTCATCCCTTTCTTCACAATAAAGCTTTCAAATATGTCATAGTTGTGCAGCATGCAAGCATCGGTGTTGAACACTGATGTCATGCTGTCAATGATGATGATGACGTCAACTCGAATCGCACACTATACTCATTTTGGTGTCATAAAGGAGAGTCATGTTATCAAGAATCAGGGTGACATTCACAGTAATAATTGACTGATTCCAGTGTATTTTCACCAAATCGGAGACACCTACGTCATTCTTTACTCGTAGGGTCGATAGAGTTCGTCCCTGTGTTCTGAATTATGACCGAGTGGTCCGTTTTCCCGGAGGGTCATATATATATATATATTGCAAATGGAGAATTTAATCAAGATAGGTTGAACCATGATAGATTTTGACTGTTTTTCCTAATGCACTACTCATATGGTTGCTGAAAACTCTTCGACAACCCACGACCGGTTTTACCCTCTTTGGGATTCATCAGGTAGGCACAGTCCTCGAGTTTTCGTCAACCTTATGTTATACTTGAATCCAAATTGCTCGACATTAGGGAACGATACTGACTTGTAAACGAACGAAAGATTTAGCTGGGTTCCAGTTGGGTCTCTCGGAAAACCAAATTTGTTTGCAAGTGAGTGTATTTCGCTAATTGCCTGTTTTTCATTTAGACGTTGCCACCGTTCCTTTTTCCCTGTGAGTTTCAACAGGATACCGCAGCTCCTTCACTCATTCATTCATTCACCCACTCACCCAATGTGTGAACTAACTAACGGATAAATTGGATTTGACTCCGCTAATGTTTGATCTTCCGATAACTTTGGTCTTCTGGTCTCAGTCTGGGGGCGAGATGGCCCAAGGGGTTAGAGCGCGAATTTACTGACCGCAAGGTCGTGGGTCGAATCCGACCTCCACCACTCGACTTCCCCTGTCTAGGCTTGGGCAACCTGGCAGTATCCCAACCCTCGTGCTTCCTTCGGGTGGCATGGCAGCTAGGCACCGGAAGGGTGCTACAGCTGAACGCTCAGTCTGTCCGTTTAGTCCGAAGGGTTCTGTGTAGGCATTGCAGTTGAAGTCATTCGAAATCCCATACATGTTTATGTGATCCCCTTTTGCCGCTGAATAACTCGCTAGTCCTGTGCCTGTGCGTAAGCGATAATTGCTGTGGAAGGGTTTTTCAAGGCGCTCGGATGGTGCGTTGGTTTTCACAGTTCACAATAAACCGCATGGCTTGCGACTAGTACGCTGTCACTGATAGGGAACTAGGAAGTTTACCATATCACAACCATCGGTTTTAATTGTTGGTATTTTTCACTGAAGCAAGTTTTTTCGAAGCATTCATTCAGTAAAGAACGAGAGATCGTTGGATCAAAGACGGTAGTCAACAGCCTTAATTCCGTTTCCGGATGCCAAACCTGGCAGTATCCCCACCCTCGCGTGGCATGGCAGTTAGGTACCCAAGGGGTTCTACAGGTGAAAGGTAGAATTCACTCATCATAGATGTTGGATTAAAGTGGACCTCATCGGAAACCTCGCAAGCCAGTTCGAGTGTATATGTATCATTCAGCATCATCGACTACGATGGCTCGGTCATGTGCTACGCATGCCGAAACACCGTCTACCGAGACGAGTGTTGTTCTCCGTGCCTCCTCTAGCAAACCGTGAGGTGGACAGCACATGACATGGCAGAAAGGCGTGAAAGAGATCACGAAGAGTTTGGGTGTTGTTGGTGTTGTACGCCTTCCAGGATGGAGTCCCCGTAACCCCGTCTGTGCTTGGCTGGAGACGTTGTAAGAAATGGCGGCTAATCGATGTCAGTGGCGTTCGTGCTGTCAGTTTCTTTCCAGATTATCTGTTTGAGCGGTTGGAGGTGTAGGCACCTCGGTATGCCAGCACTAGGTCCCCTCCCTCACCCACTTTTTTTCTCTTCTTTTCACCCTAGGGCTTTTAATATAATTATATATATATATATAAC